GTTGTATTCAATCATTAACATTTAAATTTACCAACCGGTTGCTATTTTTAGTATAATTTAACTAATAAAAGAAACTACCTACTACTAGGTAACTAGTTAGTAATAGTACTAGTTATTTTTTTGGACATATTTGGATTAAGTCCAACTTTTAATACATCTTTTTGGTAAATTAACCACAGCTTTGGTTAATTTTTTAACCCACAAGTTATATTTTACCAAATATATTTTAACTCGCTGGTAAATTAACGTTAATTGATAAACTGGTTTTGCAGTTTTCATTGTTAACTGCATGGAAAAATTAGTCTCAATACACCTTTATATACACTGTAAAAAATATTACATGAATATCCATGGCATTAGGTAACCTATATTAAATCATGTAATTTTACTAACCATATGTAAATTTCCAATATGATATGTGATATTACAAATTATATTATTTGTGTATTTCCCATATTTCACATGCAGCTTTATGTAAAATTTCGTAAATTTACCCTAAAATCATAAGGATTTTTACTTAATTTTACATAGAGGTTTATGTAATATTTTTTTAATTACTTTAATATTATGCTATTTTACATTCTTGTTTATGTAATATATTTTAAAATTAAACTATTTTACTTATTATTTCATGTAATATTACTTACATAATAATGTAATATATTCAGGTTAATACATGCATAGTATACTTACCAGAATTTGATGTTTTACTTTTAACATAAAAATAAAATTTTCCTTTTAAAACATATAAACATATAAAGGTTATTTTAGAAATATAAAAATACAATTAAAATTATGCCTTTTATATTTTAAAAATTACCTTAAACAAAATAAATAAAAATCTTAAAATTAAAATACAAGATCTAATCTAAAAATAAATAAAAAGGTACTAGATAAAACATAATAATATATTTTATTATATTAATTAATCTAATTTAAAATTTGTCAATTTATTTATGAATGTTAAAACTTTATTTTTTCCTTTACTTTTATTTGATTTTGTGCCGCTTCCAACAGGGTGAATTTTAAAGTGGAACCTTTGCAAAAATTCCATTGTATTGCTTATGTTCTTAACGTACTGCACATTAAAAATATAATACAAAATGAACATCATCAAGAATGCCTCATAAAACGATGACGCTATACATATTTCTTCGTTTTTCATAAATACCTTGAAGTTTGACTCTGGAAATCAAATCAAATGTTATTATTAAGGTAGAGAAATCTTCTTTAAAATATTTAGAAATAATTTCTATTGAAAATTTTAAGTCGATACCTACCATTGTTTTGGCTTTTTTCTCAGTTACACGTGTTCTTTAAACTTTTCATTTATTGCCACTCCAGTTAGCTCACCAAAATGCCATAATAAAGCTTATTATATTTTTAAAAGTACATGAAAAATAAGATCAAGAAAAAAACATCGTTGATTAAATAAAAATTATCGTATACTTACCAAAATTATACAAATAGCACTAAAACTAATCACGTGTTGCCTCGTAGAAGTCTGGAAACAAAGAGAGTGCATCCCACCAATACAACATTAAAGTGGTGGTGGCAGCATGCTGCGTCTTACTTACATGAGCATGCTAGGAAAATTTACATTATTGTATGTATAAATATAGATATGCGTGTGAATACACAAAAGTTTATGTAAATATACAGAAAATACTGTATTTTTTAGTGAAATTACAATAATTTACATGATTTTTGTAAACTTACTTTATTTTACAAAAATGTACATGTAATTAAAATATTTACATCAGTTTTATTGGAAATATTAATATAAGAATAATGGTAATTTATTGTGAATTTACAATTATTTTTTACAGTGTACCTATAGGTTGCAAGTTTTGTGTGATAATGGATACTAAAAGAAATAATTTTAAAAAATTAAGACTTTCTTCATCTTACTATTGAAGAGTTAACAAAGTTGTAAATAATTATTTATCCACAAATCTTAAAACAGTCCTCTCACATTTAATTAATTTGGTAAGCATCTACAGGTTTTATCACAGAAAAGATACGTTCAGATTTTAGTTGCAGCCCTGCTTTATTTTTATAAAAAGCATAAGATCGGCGATAATTTTTTAGGTTAGATATTTTGGTAATTATTAACTATAATGTGTTACATTACCCAAATTTTTTGCTGTCCATTATAACAAAAAGGAAATGCCATTAATTTTAATAATTCGTTTTATTTCAAAAATAAAGTAATTTAAACAAACCTAATAAAAACGAAAAAATTGGTTTTATTTAAGCGCATTAAAAAAACCAAATACCTATAATAATTATGTACTACTTCATCAAAAAAAACTAACTTCTTAGGTAAATAACGTTAATTTTACCATAATTGAATTCCCCACCTATTACAAAATAACGTTAATTTAAGGTTAATTTAACCAGTTTAACTACTAGGGCAGTTTTTTTATTTACATATAGGAATAGTTTTGATTTTATTATTTAAACAATTGTTTAGGTTTCCTGTTTTACACAACATGGCAAATTATTGTTGTAATGTAATGTAATGTAATTAACGTTAATTTTCATAAGCAAAGCCAACAAAGCGTCAAGCAGATGTTTGACTTCCCTTCCATACAAACATACATATAGTTTTGAAATTTTTTTATTATATAATTCCAGGTAAATTTGCTTTTCAAATTTTGGCACACTTTTAAAACCCAAATAAATAACAGCTGTGTGTTCGCGCACCTTGGATTTAATTTTTTTAAATGTTCGAGGTCATCAAGATTTTCTTTGTTAATAATAAACATCTAATTATGTTTTTAAGGCCCAAATTAAGCCACGTTTGCATTTTAAATGTCATATTTTTCGAGCGCCTGAAGCAATTAAAGTTAACGAGACCATTGTTTTAAATCAGCGCCATTAGCAGGAAATGTATATTTTGACGCGAAATATTTCCTAGACGTATATAAATCAGTCTACGACCATGCGGCATTTAGGTATTTTCATACAAATTAATTTTAAGAACGGTAATTTGTATACTCACGTCAAAATGAATGATGAATCCATCATTTGACAATATAAACCGTAAAAAATGTGTGGGTGTACTTTACCGCATTAATAACTAACTAGGTACACAGATTCTATTTTTCATTTTCATTATATGTTAATGCAGCATTGTCTTGCGGATACCTAGCTGAAATTTATAATTTAACTTCTGTTATCTTGCTGAGATGTATCTGTAAAAGCAAGGAAGTACACAGACCGTTTTAAACAGCAATTTTAGATAAACAATAGGCAACCTCACAATGCTGGTTAATTTAACTAGGAATTTTGTAATTCTGGTTCAGAAACCGAGCAATTTAGGATTAATTGCAATCAGTAGATTAATTTAATGCTGGATTAGAATCCCACAAGTGTTGGTTTACAAATTGCCTACACATAACCAAAAAATAATTGACTTTTGTTTACCTATACAAAAGTTTTGGATGCAGTCAGGTAAAAACTGTTCTTAGAAATACCATATTAAGTTGTGTAATACAGGAAACCTTGTTTACGCAAATTAATTGCAATAATAAACAAAATCGTAATATTTATTAATTATTTTATTTTGTCATTTAACCACACGTTGTTTACTTATAAAATTTAATTAAAAATCTGCGTCGTGTCCGACTTAAATTGGTTATTTATTACAGAATCAACAAACTTAATTTTAACCCCCAACTCAACAAAATACAATGACACTTCGAGGGGAGAAACTTGTTTTATTTATTTTTTTGCGCTATAGGTATCTAGTTTTTTATTACCTACATGTTCTACTAATTCGTTTAATTATTACATTAAACTAGCTAATTGCTACACTATATGTATTAAATTACACATTCCTTAGGGGAAACTGCAAATTATTTAATAATTGCTAAATTTAATCTTGTTCACTTTCAAGTTAAATTGTTAAGATTTGCGGTGTGAAAAGGCATTACTTTTCCGTGTATTTGTTTGGATTATTCTTGGATAAACATTTAGTTAAGCCGCATAAGCGTCGTAAAAACATAAAACAAATCCTAACCTCACTTCCAGTTTGAAAAACAGGTATGTGCAGTTGATACAGGTAGTCGTTGAGGCTTTATTTGCCCGAGTAAAACAGGCTCTCGAGATCAAGGTAAAACTCCCGCCTCTCGCTTACACGTACACGGTGTAGGTACAATATGAAGTGAAAAAAAAGGAACTTTCTCTCCACACTTAACCTCTCTCATGAGCTCTGGACACCGAAGATGCAAGATCGTGACCGGTCGAACGAAAAAATAAAATGCATGAAATACCTGTTGGGATTCTTCGTTGACGGTTGGAAACGGGCACAATTCACAAAATAAAATAAATAAATAAATAAAATCAACACAAATCAAAACGTTTGAGACATAGCCGGCGAATGTTTCAAAACAAAAACACAACAAAACATAACAACACTGTAATGGACGAGCACGCGGTTAAAACAACAGAAAAACAAAGTGCAGAAAACTGATTGTTATTCGAAAAATACACGAACACGATGAATTTTCGCAGCAACCGACTCTCTCCTATGCCTGCTTGATACAAACTGTCTGTGAGTCATTTTTAATGCAGCGCACGCCGCCATTTGTACTCTACAGCGTTGCCAAACGTAATATCTTTCCCTGAATCTACCGAATTACAATGGGATTTTCATATTATCAAATAGTATGCATTTTGATAAAATTCATTCGTCTTACCACATAAACGAATAATTAAAAAATAAAAATAATTTTGTCGTGCTGTGGGATTTCCTAGGTGCAGATGTGGCAACGTTGCTGCGCTCCCGGCAGACTAGATCCTTGCACACAGCATTCGAGAGAGATGAAAACATGTTTTGTAGCTGTCTCTTTTTAATGTTCTTCTTGGTGTTTTTGTGGGTTGCATTTTATTGCATTTGCGGTATTTTTTTTATAATAATAATGATCGTTATGCACCAGTCTGTTTATGCGTTAAACTTATACTAAAGGAGTATTATTTTTTGTAAAACTTACCCTCGATTTTGGAGTGTGTTTCAAACCAATGGCTGGTTGACTTCTGTTGCTCTAGAAAAGAAATTAGAAGAAATTAATAAGATATTAATTTCATTATCAATTTTTAATTTTTTCTTAAAACAAATTTGGATATTATTATAGAAAAAACTAAAAAAACTTTTAAAACTCATATTTTTCATTGACAGAACTCGTTTACAATGTTGTCAGATTTAAAATCATACAAATTATGTTATATTAAAATGTATGTCTTTAAAACTACAAGTTGTAGTTAAAACCAAGCAAATATTTTCAATTTATAATACCTATATGGAAATATAAAATAGTGTACTATTTACATTAAATATTTTAATGTATAATGGGCTGAATACTTAATTTCCCTAAAGAGCTCAACATGACAACATTGCTCCAAATCTCAGAGTTCATGTCAAAAAATGTATCAGCTATTTTATCTATTTTGCAAAAATTCTATAAAAAAATTAATTTTATACCTTAAATTTAATTTGGTCGAATTTTACTTTAGATAGTTGGTATCACAGTCATTGGTTTGACAGTTAATGTCAAAATCGATTCGCCATGCCGTCCTTAATTTACTTATTTACAATAAGCGGCTGTTAATGTTAAAGAAGAAAAAAAGGATTTTCTTTGGTGTTAAATAAAATTTATTGCCAGAATAGTGTCGAAAGTACTAGAAAAATCTTAAAAATATTATAACCTATGTGCAAAATATTATGCTGTTTAAAGTATAGCCAACCTATAAAATCAAAATTTTGTAGTATCTCATTACAGCACCGAAACCGGTGTTATAATGAAGTCATTATGAACGCAAAATAGATAAATTAATTTTTAACCTGAGCCTTGACCCTTTTTTATAAAAAAAATGGAACAAATCCTAAAAAAGTAGGAAAAACTCCTAATTTCAAAAAAAATTCAAACGAGTTTTTTTCCTACGTTTTTACTATTCGTTAGATTTGTAAATTAATTTTTAACCTGAGCTCCGACCACTTTAAAAAAAAATTAGATCAAATCCTAAAAAAGTGGGAAAAAGTCAAACGAGGTTTTTTTTTACTTTTTTAGTCTTCTAAATGTACTTCCAAAGTTTTAGATCAAAAAAATAGTATAAATTTATGGTTAACCAGGACCAAATCTGCAAAACCAGGACAAAACCAGTAAACAATTAGGATCCATTAGCAAAAACCAGAACCTGTCCTGGGTAAACCAGAACGGTAGGTAGGTCACCTTATGTATACAATTTTTATATAAACAGATAACAAAATAAGAAAACACATCTGAAAATAAAACTAATCAATTGTAGACCTCTTCTTTGGTAGGTACATCTTCCACGTAAGTACAATATAACAACGTAAATAATGTAATTTCAAAGAATAACACTGTGTGTATTTTCGGTTTCTACAATCAAAATCAAGAATTATAGCGTTTACAGAATGTTTAGATTGATTCTGGTTTTTTTAATATCAATTGAAGGGGTTAGAATAAAAAGGGTATAAGTAACATTTTAATTTTTTGGAGATATTTGAAGTTAAAGTTATGTTACCATAAAAAAGTGAAGAATTTTGTTTAGTAATGTTTTTCTACTGGATAATAGAGGTCCCTAGAAGTATGAAAATTACTTAAATCCTTTTCATTTCGATACGTCGGAACCTTATCTTTCACAAAACGAACTTATCTCCTAAATTAAAGAAATTGCACTTATACCCTTTCTATTCTAACCCCTTCAATTTAAAGTTTTAGTAGTTCTGGATCCTGAAATATAGTAAAATAATAAATAATTATAATTATTTATTATTTTACGATATTTCAGGATCCTATACTATAGTACATAAAAGATAATTATTGGTTTTGTATATTGTTTTATAAAGTAATAACAATCAAATAAAGAAAAAAATAATTAAATAAAAAAATATTGAGAACAATAAAATGCAATTTTTTTTTTAAATTTAACCTTTTTCTGGATGTGCATGGAGCAAATGTACATGTTTACACCCATTTTTAATTTTTGTTTTATTTTTTATTATTTCTTTTTAATTTATTGTTATGACAACAATATCCTACCAGTTATTGGATCTAATCTAAACATTCTGTAAACGCAAAAAGGCATTCTTTGGATAGGAGAAACGAAAACCACTTTCAGAACCCCATCATTTTTTTTGCTGTTGCACTGTGTAATTGGACTAATAAATTATTTATAATATTAATACCTACATTGTAAGTATTGAATATATTGAAAATAACAATAAATGGGATATCATACAAAAAGTTTTAAAAATACATATAAAAAAATCTGGAAAATAATACCTACATTTTTAAAAAATAGTAAAAATTTAAAAAACCCTTTGCAGTTTATAAAATAAATAATTCTTTATTTTTTTGTACCCCAGAGCCAAACTGTATTATGTCCAGTTTTTAAAATAACATTTCCGCTATTTCCAAGGGTTTCAAAATAAATTTCACAAACCTCGTTCCACTTCCTGTTCTGGGGCAACCTGAGTTCGATGCTCTGAATCTCCTGGATCTGCTTGACCGTCTGCTTCAAATCGGCCTGCAGCTTCTGCTGTATCTGCTTCTGCACCATAATCTTCTGCTCCACCTCCTGACTGCTCTCCCCCTCCACCAGGCAGTGCTGCCCCCTGCGCAGCACCTTCTCCTTCTCGATCCTCTGGGCGAACAGCTCCTCGAGCTTCTTCGTCGACTGCTGAAACTGGCCGTGCGCAGCTATCGGCTTCGTTTTCGCGTCTTCAGTCTTCTGTTGCTTGTGCTGCTGGATTTTGTGCTCCGTTTGCGGCAAAAAGTGCGCCAGAGCTTGTGCGTTCGCCACGAAGTGCTGCTTGTTTTGCGCGAACGATTGCCGCACCTCCTGCGACATAAAGTCCGGCTGCGAGGACTTCCTTTGGTGACCGGTCAGCTTCGCGTTGGCTAGGAAGTCGGGCTGCGAAATTTTTCTCTGGTGCGTTTGAAACTCCTTCTCCTTGTTTACGTCCAGCTGGACGAAATCCTTGAACCCCCCGCTATCCGAGGAGTTATTCGAGTCGACAGAATCGATTTTGATCATGTTTTTGTTTAGGTTTATGATGCCGCAACAATCAGTCGTCGCGTTTGATAGGATACTGCAACACACGGTACTTGGGGAGTTGGGAGTTTTCTGCATCATTTCCTCCACCTTCTTGTAGGCTTCGAAGTGCGAAAACTTATCACATTTTGACGTATACTCGTCGTACTTGACGTTGGCCACGTACTCCTTAGGCTCTCTATAATCTATTTTTCTACTCGATTGCAATTCCTTTTGGTTACATTGGGGCTTCTGCTCGACCGCATTCGAATACCTGGGAGGATTTGCATCCTGCGAAGGCTTCCTCTGGACCTTAACAGGTGGCACGAACCTAGGTTTTGAGGCTATGGCAGGTTTGTTCGGGATGGCCGGCTTGGGGCCCTGAATTCGGGGCCTATTTCCTTCCTGCATCCTAACTTATCACAAAAACATCACTTACGTCACGTGTAAACATAATTTAGTAAATAAAACTCCGCGTAAAACAGTAGTGCCACTCTGACGAAACACGTTGCAATGTTGGGGGTTGACTCCCTAAACAGGCGCTTCGTAGAGGCGTCGCGACGCGGCGCCAACGTCGCGTTCAATAAGCAAGGACGTCGTTTATGTTTGTAGCGAGAATTTCTCGCAAAAGTCTCTGAAATCATCGCACAGATGCAACGCGTCGCGTCTTTCGATCACTTGTTCTAAATTTTCGCATTGTTGTTTCACCCTACGATGCGTCGAATAAAAAAACTGCACCCCTTCCTTGCAATTGGGACTGGGGTGAGCTAATAATTAAAATTCGGCTCTTGATGCTCTTGATGCTCTTGAACAATTGCTATGTAGTTGGTTCAATTCTATGACATTTGTTTTATAATTTTTTATTCCGTTGTAATGGTTTTAAATCATTCATATAAAATTACAGTACTTTTTTAATAACAAAACCATTTAAAACAGTGAGTCTGATTCTTACTCGCTTTTGATCTAATTAGAATTAATTAGATATTTATATAATATTTATTATATTGCTATTGAGTTTAAATCATCCAATTTTAGTGTAAAATAAAATTACAAATAAAAAATTTAAGAAAACATTAAGAAAAATAAACGATAATATAAAACTTACAAAAAATTATGATTTTGCAGTTTTCATTCACTCAGAGAAATGGCTATAAAAAAATGTACCACCTAAGGTACCTTTTTTATTAAATTTTCAGTGTCTTTTTGTTTATATTATTATATACATATATTATTTTTATTTACAGAATAAACTTTTTTGACTGTTAATAAAATTCTCATTTACTATAATGAAGCAGTAATGTTGAGCTTTTATAAAAAAAATTTCATCCAACAAATTATAGTTGTTATCATATTGTCATGGCAATAAGAAATACTTTATGTTTATATTAAATCTTTTTGTCGAACTTAAAATGTTTTTGTTAAATCTATAGTTGTGTGTGAATTGCGCTAAAGTAATGCGGAGTTGTTTTAGTAAAATTTCTTCATTTTACTCTGGCATATTTATCTTTTTTAAATTACTATCGTTGTAATTCAAATTAATTTTAATCCAGTTAAAAAATCTTTGTTAATAGCTTACGTTTAGAACAATAACAAAAATATTTTATTGCTATAGAAAGACTTTTTTTAATATTTACTATTGTTTTGCAATAACAAAATTTTTGTTGTTTCTTTTGAAAAGAGGGGGAAAGGGCCAGCACTCTCCTTGGTGAACATAACTTTATAATTCACAGTTTGTGTTATAATCTTACTGATTTCACTTGTGTGAGTGAAGTGTGGTAAAATCTAGCCTGATAAAAATATCAAAAAGATCAATAAGAAAATTAAAATTTTGACGTTTTCTAAAAGAAATATTTAAGGTCCATATAATATGAGTTAACTTTTTTTGTTATAATAAATAATTTGTTTTAATGACTTGCAATTATTTTAAAAAACCTACCCAACACCCAAGAGTGGGTTGAAAATGTGACCATTGTTAGAATGAAAATAGTTTATTGAATTAACAATTAATTTGTTGTTGAATTTATATTAATTTTATTAATATTATAAAAAAAGTTTTATTTTAAACGAAAAGGGATTTGTAAAATTTACAAAATTTCTATGAATAATACCAGGGTTTCATTAATACTACAAAACGTTTTTGTAAACGCAGTTATATACCGTTTACAAAAAACATGTTTTTTTTGACAAATAATACGAGGGTTATTTTTATAAACATATCGTAAATTTACATTATAATTAATGCAAATGCTTATTTTTTTCAAAGTGCATTTAAAATATAGAAGTCCTATTACACTGAAAAAAAAAGATTTCTTGTATTTAGAACACCTATTATCTTGAAAATATTTTTTTAATTCAAGTCAACTTGCTGTAAAATAAGAATAAGAACTAAAAATATTTAACTTCTTTAAAAAAGAATTTTTGGAAATATTCTAATATTAAGAAACATTTTTTGTTTTAAAGTTGCATGTTTCAATCCAAATATTAAACATTTAAAAAGATTTTGTTTTGGAAGTAATTTTGTTACACACTTTGGGGTATAGCATTAATTTTGATTCATATAGGGTGGAGTTCATTGGCAATAGCCCTAAATTATTTTATAAAATTGATAATTGCTTTTCTATTCCTAAAATATTACAATTTTACATTTTTCTTGTTTTAAAAACAAAATAAATGTATTTGTTCAACGGTTGTTTTTTTATTTTCTAATCTAAATTTTTTTGCTTACTGCACCACCTGCTTTGGCCCTTCAGTAAGTTTGGTTTAATTTTGAATAATCCGTAAGTATTTAAATATAAAGTTATAAAGACAACAATCCTTAAAAAATTACAGGATATTTAAAATTACTTTAGTCCCCTTCAAGTGTTTAGACGTATTTTTATTTCTTTTGCAGTAATATTCCTAAATATAAAGATGTTTTTATTATTAAAATAAATAATTTTTAGTTAATAGACGTATCATTATTTAAAATTTTATCGATTTTAAATACAAAATGATAGATTTTTTGAAACATTGCTAAAAGTAGCTTAAAATATCTTTTTTATTTAAGTATACCACTAATTTATTTTTAAAAGAACATATTCTTGCTTTTAAACAACCAATTATTTGGTTAAACCAAAGATTAAATATACTCTAAAGTATATTTAATCTTTGGTTAAACATAAAACATTTTCCTGAATTAAGTAAATATTGCTGCCTTATTTCAAAAATTATATATTCTTTCTTTTAAAAAATCGGAGTTTTATTTAAAGAAAATTAATTTTCTTACATTAAGAAAAGATTCTTGAAGTAAATCAACGTGAATTAGGAAAATACTATATATACTATTTTAAATAATATATTCTCTTCGTTATATATATACTTCCTCATTTTTACAGGCATTTTGGGGACACCTATGATACATAAAATACTTATTTTTTACATACAATTTGATTACTTTTTTCTTAATTACATTAAAAAACACCCCTAACGAGTTTTTCTATTACCGTGTTCGATGGGAGCGTTTCCCTCCAAAAGTTACGTGTCACGTCAGAGCACGCATGTAAACGACCTCTGAAAATCAACAAACCCCAGTTCACCCCTCGTTGCAGACGCCCGAACGGAAAAAGTAAAATAAACCACACGGAAACGTCAACCTGTCGGTGAAAGAAAAATGCCAGTTAAATAAAGGAGCCGATCACGGACGCCATGAAAACTACGAGGGTAAAGTCAAAACGAAAACATCCCAATTACCTCATATTTTATTTTTTGAGGATATTTCTTTTTTGAGTTTGGAAACTTGAAATGAAAAACTTTATCAAACCAAAACTTTTTTATATAGCACATGTGCTGTACGACAAAATTTGATTTTTTTCCCTCCCATGAAAAATTTCTATAGATTTTGAAAATAGACTTCATTCACTGAATAAATGGACAACCATTAACACAGTGGTCAAAACTAAAGTATAGGACGAACAAAAATACCAACCAAAACTGATAGCATAATCTGATTATAGACTCTTTTGGTAACACAAAAATGTATTTATTAAAATCCCAGCTGATCCTTTATTAAAGTTTTGCATATTTCTTAGTATTTTAAAATTGTTTATGCCATTTCGATAAAATACTCTAGTACCATTATCAAATGTTTTTATAATAATTTGACAGATACATGACTGAAATATGGATAAATTACATTATAAATACAAAATAATGTAAAATACAGTTTGCAATATCTTATTTATTGTTTTAAGGTACCTAATACAAAACTAATAAATAACTAAAGATTCTTTGAAGCAAAATCGATTACTGCTTGCCTTAAATTTTCAGTAAAACTTTTTCTTGGGTTTTACATGGAATTGTTTTTAATATGGAAACTATTTTTAAATTCTTCAGTCTCTGTACAAACATGCTTCTTACATCTAACGATATCCCCTAGAAAGCATATCAAAACTTTAGTTCGTTCGTCCGTCCTCTTCCCTTAAAATTTTTTTGCCCTTTATATCTTGCCATTTTGCGGATAAAGCACATACATTCTTGGCTGCCGCGAAATTCTCTAGCAATTTCTAAATTTTGAAAATTTGGCAATTGTGGCTATGCAAAAATACCGTTTTTACCATATTGAAGTAGGTAATGTTCGTTTGAAAAAGTCTGCAGAAATTTTTATATTTTCTCAGAAACCCTAAACTTTGAATTTTCCAGTACCAAAAACAATTTTGTCTCCACAGCCAGCACATACCTTCTTTCGATTTTCTTCATGGCTTAACTAGAATTTCGGTTTAATTTTCATTTTAAAATACTATTTTTAACTTTATAAAGTATACATTAAATAAACAACTAAAGCAAAATGTCACTTGCTTTATAAAGTATAGCAATTTTTTTTTCATAACCACCTTAATTATTGTTTTACAAAATTTGCAAGTTGTAATTATTTCATAGATAAACTTCCAGTATTTTTTGTTTTAAAAATATTTAAGATATATCGTTTTTTTTTGTTATGTTTTGTTTTGAGTGGTAGAAATAATAGGTGACTCAATAAATTAATACTGGGGAGTAAAGTAATTTAAATGATACAAAGTTTATTATTTTGCTTAATTTTATTAAAATTGTACAGGTAGTTTTAGTATAATAATTGCAAAATAATATATAGAAATAGAAAAACAAAAAAGTTTGCAAAACTTTAAAATAGGATCAGCTGGGATTTTGATAAATACATGTTAGTGTTACCATTGAGTTTTCTGAAATTTTTAAAGCGTTTATAATCCAAATAAGTCTATTTTTCTAAAATATTTTAAATAAAATTCCACTTCCGGCTTGACCGGAAGTGACCTCAACTTTGTTATTTTAAATGGCACACTCCATATATTTTTACATTTTTAAATTCTACATACAATTTTAAGTAATATTACTGTCCCATGTCCTATACCTAGAGTAAATAGTTTTGGAGTTATTATTTTTTTTCGATAAAATATGACAAATGCGCCTATAAAATAGCCTATAACTTTCTTGCTATTAGGTTTGCAGAAATGGGGGTGGAATTTTTGGAATCTTAAAACATTGTTTAAAAGATTTCATGTCAATTTCTTAACATACCGGGTGTTACATTTAAAATAAAAAAGTTATTAACGTTTCAAGTTAGCCCAATTTGCCCTGGGTTTTCTCGGGTAATTTGTAGAAAAATGTTAAAGAATTGACATGGAATTTTTTAAACAATTTACCCCCATATCCGTAAATATAATAGCAAACATCTAGAAAACTATTCACTTTAGGTATAGGACATGGTATAGTAATTTTACTCAGAATTTTATGTAGAATTTAAAAATGTAAAAATATATTGAGTGTTCTGTTTGAAATAACAAAGTTGATGTCACTTTCGGTCAAACCCGAAGTTCCATTTTATTCAAAATATTAAAAAAAATAGACTTAATGGATTATAAACGCTTTTAAATTTCAAATATATATTTTTCCGTTCTCCAGAAACTTCCAATGGACCACGAATGTGAAACACCCTGTATATCAAGTTGTGTTTTAGGTTGTGATACCACTATAGATTCGAAAGCAATGTATAATCGTCAAACTTAAAGATCAAAATATGTTTCCAACATATATTTAATATAAGTTAAATACAAATCTGTTGTTTTATTAAAAAAAAATCAAAAATTAAAACCAGAAATATTTTTTTTACTTAAAAAAAAAAATTGATTTTTTCTTTAGTAAGTATAAATTGTGTATTATGTAAAAACAAAATATTTAAGGAAAAAATGATTTATAACAAAATAGAGAATTAAAAATCTGTTTAGTTAAAAAAATAAGAATGGCTGTGTAAAAAAATTAAATGACGTGATTTCGTGAAACGGTGAGACACTGGTAAGTTTTTTAACCTTTATTTTTAAAATCTGTTAAAATTTTTCATGGGAGGAAAATCGTGTTGTACTGTGTAATATGACAAAATTTAAATGAAAACAAGAACAAACCTTAGAGCTCAAAGTTCATAGGCATAATACAATTAATGACAGCAGATGTATTTCTTAATTTAAATTTATGAACTCGCATCCCGGGAATGTCACTTAAAATTGTAGTAGAACGATAAAGGGACAATAATAGCGTACTAAATCAATATTAATGGTTCCATTTAAATCAATTAATACGTGTTATCACGTAATTTAACCGATCGATCGCTTAGGTCCACACTGTGAGAGTTGTTAAATTTTATTTTTACGTAATAAAGTAGTAGGTAGGTGTTTTTTAAATAAGGCGTTACAAGATGTAATTTATTGGATCCCATAAGGTTTAAACATAAATCCGATAAATTTCAATCTTCCTATACAATAGGGAAGACATAAATCTATTAGGTAAAGTCTATTTAAGTATACAATTTGTTGTAAAATTCTTATTAGGAATATATACAGGGTGTCCGTTTTCAAGGCTAAGCATAGGTATCTTGACAGCTTTAAAAGCTGATTTGAATTCCCTTTAAGCATTTTTAGTTGATTCTTATGCCAATCAAATGTGCAAATTTTTTTAAATTTAACAAAGTATTTTTTTTATATAAATAAACCTTTAAAAGATTTTTTTTTAAATTACTACGGTTATCATATTAAATATTTTTTAAGGAATATTCTAAAAAGCTTAGTATTTTCTAAACCGATTGTTTTGGAAACAAAAATACAGCAATTTAAAGTTAACAGTTTCGGGTTCTTAATAGAAATTGTCAAAAAATACATCTGTCAAGACAAATTTTAACTTTTTATTATTGAAACGACATTAGAAAGTTGTGTTTAATATTTTTATTTATTTAGCGTTCATAATGACTTCATTGTAACACCGCTTTCGGTGATGTAATGAGGTACTTTACCCCACCCAAAAATTTTGATTTTATAGGTTGGCTACTTTAAACATCATACTAGTAAAATAATATTTTGCATATTCGTTATGATATTTTTATGATTTTTCTAGTACTAACAAAACTTTTCTGGCAATAAATTTTGTTTAGCACCAAAGAAAATCCTTTTTTTCTTCTTTAACATTAACAGTCGCTTATTGTAAATAAGTAAATTAAGGACGGCATGGCGAATCGATTTTGACGTTAACTGTCAAACCAATGACTGTGATACCAACTATCTAAAGTAAAATTCGACCAAATTAAATATAAGGTAAAAAATTATTTTTTTTAATAGAATTTTTGCAGAATAGATAAAATAGCATAAAGAACTCATGCCATAAGACCTTTTGTCGCACGAGGACAATTTGACGTCTTATGACATTAGTTCTTTAATATACTATTATGTAATTCAATATTCTTAAAAAATTAAATAGACAAAATTAAAATATAATTTTTAAACCCTTATATACAGTGTGTTACCGAAAGGTTGTCGAAAAAATTACCAGGTGGTAAAGCTTCTTAAAATTATATTTTTTCTAAATATTTCCAAAACGGGGAGATTAAGAAACAACTTTTTTGTGTATTGACTTTTCTTATTTTGGACCAACAGTATTAAATAATACAGTTTTTTTTATGTAAAAAAGGTCGTCTTGCCTTAACCCCTAAATTAATAAGGCATCTAGCGGCTATTTGAGGTTAACATGGTTGACAGATGTATTTTTTAAGAGTTTGTTGGACGAGTCCAAGCCTACTTATATACATATGTATTAATATAGATATTTAAATGGTAAAATGTTTTAAGGTAGGTATTGGTTAAATTTTGATAACTTTATATGTATATATATATGAAGCTTTATTTGAAGTAACCTCAGAAGTAACAGATATCCCGGCGCATTCGCCATTTTTATAAAAATGTGGATTTTTTATGAAGAAATAATGAATATTAAACTTATTATTTTTATAAATTAAACAATAAAATTACATAATTTTTGTTTACATATGGTATCAGAAAAATGGCGTATCATCTTTACAAAACACAAAAGAGATTGAAAAATAAATTACTCTGTAAGCTAATTTAAATTTAATAAACAATTTTGTAAAAATATTTATTACAAATTAAGTAGATTTTTTAGATCATTAAAGAACCAACCACTGTCGTTTTTAAATGTAAATAAGTAAATTTAATACGCCCTAGCGTATGCAACCAAGATTACTAATTATAAATGTTTTAGTGCTTAGATATAAATCACAAAAACTTAATAAACACAGTAAACATTAAATAAAATTATAAAATAATCAATTTACCTTGCCAAATCCTCTGTGATTAACAGACAAAAGAACTCCCAAAGCCTGCTCTCGATATTCCTTATCCAAGTGATCGTGTTGCGTCTGGATACGCCTGCAACCAACAATACACCAGTTTAGCTTCCCACCGATAGATGGCGAAAGTAATACAAAACCAAATTTATGCTGTTATATTTAAATATTTACTTAGATTGTTTTTAAATGAGTGGAGTTTTATTTAAATTTTTAAGTTAAAGAGTTTTACAAAATGTTCCTTACGCAATGGCAACCAATAATTCTTGTTTTTGATGCTCCTTAGCTTTTATGGACCCTCCTTCCTCCAATGCAACTTGTAATTCTTTTTGTAGTACGTTCAATTTTCTTCTTTCAGCTTCCAGAAGTAAACTTGTTACCTGCAAAAGAACAAATCAGTAAAGAATGAAAGTGTCAAATCGGTAGTTTTTTGTCTATACACTGTTCAAAATTTCATGACCATTTTAACACCAAATTAACACCATACATGGTCTATATCGATACAAACCAAAATGGTGTTAAATATGGTTCGTTGGTCCGGTGTAAATTTAAATACTAAAATAGTGTTAATTTAACTTTCACACAGTATTAAAATAAATTTTACCTGGTGTAAATTGAATTCCTTTTCAGTGTTAAATATTATGTGTTTTTGGTCAAATTAAATCATACTACACAGAAAAAATGGAAAAAAGATAGGAAACAGGAAATTCCTTGAAGCATTCCTAGTGTTATTATTCCAGAAAATTGAACCTTCAACTGGCTAGAGATCACAATCCATGTGGATTGTGCTAGAGATAATGTTTTTAATGCGTTACACCAACTTTAAGTATTGACAGCTGTTTCCACCTATTTAAGGTATCAAACAACTTGTAGTGTCACACCAAAGCAAAGGACTACCTGAGCTTATATACTCTTCATGTAAGTCAACAGAGGCGAGATTTAAGGTACACACTATGCAACCGGGAATGCACGGCAAATTGTTTTAATCGTTTTAACAGAGTACTTTAGATTGAAGTAACTCTTATTTTTACAAAAAAAACATATTTAATAAACTGAACCATACAGCGGGTTGGTTTCACTAAAGTTTTCTGGGTTAATTTAACCAATTTAAAAAAAATAAAATAACTATTTGGTTTAGTACCGTCAAACTAATCTTTGTTTATATTAACCTTCCCACAGTTGATTTAAATAAATACTTATGGGTCAACTAAATTAAGATAGTTAAATGAACTATTCCTTTTTTTTCTGTGTAGGTGCACTTCTCAAATATTTTTAGATAAACACCGTTTTGGTGTTTGCTGTATATAACATTTTCAACCATAATTCATGGTGTTTATATTAACACCACTTGGTGTTGGATTTTGACACCATTTTAAGATTACTCTTTACACCATGGTGTGCACAGATATTTTAAACCGTGTAGCCAACATTACAATTCTGTTCATAAAATGCCCATAAAGATTCATCAACAATTGCGGTTGATCGGATTTGCGTGTGCATGCTATTGCAAAATTCAAGGCGCTGTAATCGTAAAAACGGATGTTTATGGCAAAATAATTTTGTGCGATCCCGTTGATATTTGAAAAAGTATAGAGGATGCACTTATTGCGCAATGATGTTTATCTGACTTGCGGTTTTGTTTATGCAACTTTATCGCAGCAATCTGGGTAAATTGGTGAGAACCGATTTTTAAGAGTACTAAAACTGACTAAAACTGGCCTATTTTACGGATTTAAGAAAATCATATCAGCCAAATACTTTGTGGAGTAAGTACTCCATGTTAAAAAGTGTCCTAAAAGGTAACAAAAATTTGGATTCGAGCCTATATTATAAATTAACATCATAAATAAAAATTAAAATGTGGGATACCGACCAAAAAAGTGCAAAACTTTTTAGAAAGATTACATTTCAAGATTCATTTAAGAAGCACCAGAATAAATTTACCTTTTAATAAAAATATCCACTATTTATGGGTTGGCTGGTGCTTGTCGGCGAGAAGATAATGATTGATGATATAGACGATAAAGAAAATTTGGTAATCGTGAAAATTTCGGACAGAAAAAATGACAAATCAAGAATCTTTGTGATATCTGATGAAATAAATAATGTTTAAAAATATTCTAATTTGCGAAAACGCTAGTAGAAAAAATATTGTTCCTAACACATACGCAAAGTTATTTTTCCGAATTTACTGCTATTACAGTGGCGTGCGGAAAAATGTAACTTTGCGAACTTGTTGGGAAAATAACTATTACTTAAAAAAATGGCGAATGCTCCGGGGTTAATTTTTTATAATAACAAAATAACACTTTATAGCGTATTTCAGAATAAAGTTCTTAAAATTAAAATAATAACATTATAACTTTTTTATATGTAGTGAAACGAAATCAAGAGGCAAAATATAGTTTTATTTCAATGGTGTCCAGTATTATTAAAAAGTACTTTGAATAAACTATAAACCCAAGTAACAATTGTAAGATATTTGGTTTTAAAGTTACCTTGAGATAAACTTAATAGTATATTATGTATCAAGTTTGATAAACGCCATTTTATACACGAATTTAATTTAGGCACGAGCGAGCTTGCGAGCAAGTGTATAGAAAAGTTTATAAACGAGGTGCATACTATACTTTTTCTACGACAAATACTTATTATTATCTTAAAATGATTTAAATCAAAAATTTGTATAGAGCGCCATCTATGAAACAACAGGGGAAACTGTCAAATGTCACATTCAGATTCACATTTTTACATTTTATAAACACAATTATAAAGGTTATAAATCGAAATGCATCTTGAAACTTGACAGTTTTTCACAGTGAAAGTAAAGGAAATATTTTATGAGGACTTTACAGTGGAGTCCGTGCCCGAATTTAACTTATAGTTTACTGCCGGCGAAATTAAAAGGTCAGTACAATGTTCATATAAACTTTTCAAATATTGGCGTTAAGAAACTATTTAATATTTTTGTATTATTGTATTGAGATAATAAAATAATTTTCACATTTAGTATTATTTAACAAGAAAGGCACTTTATTTTAACGATTGTATGACATTTGACAACTGTTAACTAACTTAAAACTAACTTTAGCCCGTGACTAAAACATGTTGCTGTGTGACTAAAGCGCCGTAAAGCCACAACTTGTCAATGTGTATTTAAAAGATCACTTAGTGTCATGGAAACATGTACGATAAAGGGCGTTTTAAAGGTGGGAGTAGAAAAAGTTCTTAAAGGCCATTGATCTTATACTGGTTTTATAATACTCTCGACATGGCTATTTGCTTTTTTAAAGGATTAAATAGCAAGTTGGATTTAAAACTATCCATTTTGGAACAAATAGTTTTAATGGTAGTACCCTTGATGTACTCATTAAAACCCATTAAGAAATCTTTAAATTATAAAGAATAAACATAAAAAAAAATATTTTGAAAAATTTTACAAAGGTTTTCAAGGCATATCTGACTGACATTTCTTGCAACATGTCCTTGTAACATTTCGTAAAACGCCCAAAATTAATAAACTTTATTTATAGTGTACCTACATACTTTCACAAATATATAAAATCATTAATTTTAACTAAGCTATGTAGTTTAAAATAGAACTCAATCGAAAACGGCGATGTCTCTATGTGGCGTTTATAAAAGTTCGCAAAAATAATAAAATACAACATAAACTGTTTTATACATAAAATTTATTTAATTTTAATAAAGGTATACAATTTGTAAAACCATTATTAATGTTAAAAAATACCTTTAATCAGTAATACAAAATTTTGTTTCAAAACTTTTCTGGCTGATTAGTTTTTAATGGAGTTGATGTGATAAAGAAAAAGCCGAAAAAGGCGTTTTCGTATGTACATACATCAATCTTGAAAGTAGTAAACACAGTTATTATGCATAATTACCCCTCACTTCAAACATATTATGAATGTACATTTGGTAAGGGAAATTCGCGTGGGGTGAAAGCCTCGGAAATTAATTAATCACATAAACAAAATTTTACCTGTTTTTTTTAATCACCCGAAATTAAGAGTGGGGATTATTATTAATTATTCAAAAATTATTGTTACTACAGTTATAAGTGGCTGATTTTTTACTTAACATGGTATACCCAACATTTCACAGCCAATTCTTATGTAAAATTGGCCCCTGAATCCGAAAATACCGTCAAAAATAATAAAAAGTAAAGTTTTGTTCATTCAAGTAGGGTTTTTACTAATTTTTTTGTCAAAATCGAATAATTTTGTTACAATATCAGAGTTGCAAAAATATTAAAGTAAAAAATAATAAAATCATCATTTTTTTAATGGTAATACCTATAGTTTAAATAGATTAATCATAAACAAAAATTTGAATGAGAAATATTTTCATTACCTACACATTAAAAAATTAATAAGTAATGTCGAGCAATACATTACTTATTAAAATAATAAAAAATGAGTAATGAGAGACCGTACCTTACACATGCAAAAAAATTGTAACGAAAGACATTACCATTTACATTAGTGAAAAATTATCAGGGGTAGGGTTGATGGGGTGATTTTATATACGGGGTATTTTACACCAAGTTAAAAAATGTTGATTTTTGATTTCTTTTATTTTTCGATATTTTTAAGTATCTACTCATTAAAAATCCCTTTCTGGTAAAGTTTGATATTTTTTTTGAATACTTGTTCAAAAGATATCAAATTTTTAAAACAATCGGGTAAGTAAACTGCGCACCACTCAATGTGTCGCGACCAAAAAGTTTGTCCTTTTTCAAAACGGCATAACTTTTTTGTTTCTTGAACGATTTTATTTTGGTCTGTGATGTCTGCTAACTCCATCCTCTGGCAATTCATGCTATAGATATTAAGCCCAAGGTTCTTCAAGTAAATTTCCTACAGGGTGATATGTAAAACGGTGAAAAATTTCAATAACTTCATCCAAGCCCCGTTTGAAAAAAGAAATATTTTTTCTCGTTTTTACTTTGAAATAATGAAGAATTATGTCTTACCTTAAAAAGCTTTTCAAATTTTTCGAATTGGAATCTTAGAAACGAAAATCTGATTTCTTTTACAAAAGAGTACATTTAAGGATTTTTGGTAGGCAATACACTCTTTTTTTTTAAGAACAAGAAAATAAGATGGTGAAAGATTTTTCCTTGAATAATTCTGAACAAGCGACAATCAACAAACTTCCATTATTTTCAAAGGGGCCTATGTAAAGACCACTTTTTCAAAATGACATTTTGGAAAAATTTGCGAAAACTAAACCTGAAGCGATATTTACGTTCGTGACATGTTTTCTTTATAATTTTGACCTCCTGATTGTGATTTAGTTGTCAAATATAAGTTTCAGATAAAACCAAAATCACCAAGAATCAAAATTCTAAAACAAT